ATAAGGTGGGAGGGTGGATAAGGGAAACAAGATTGGCCATTTCAAGAATTCCCAGAGCTGGGTGACACACAATTATACTAGTCTGTTGTGTATGAATAAAATATTCTGGAAGTTAAAATAAATTCTTTAGGGAAAAAATGCTACAGAACATAATTCCATATAGTACTTGCCAGACTTTTTTGTTACAGCACCATGTTAAAAACGTTGGTATTTCTATGGCACAGGGATTAAGGGACAGGTGGTATGTAGCCAGGAGGGATGAACTCAGGGGCACAAGCTAACTAAGGACTTGTCTGGCAGTGCTGAAGGCTAGGGGTAACAAATTGTGGGGTACCTACAACCATTGTGAGGCACTACTTGACTATGGAAAGCAGTTCATGGAGTGGTATTATGTGCGAAAAGCAAGCCAATAATACTGTATTCCCAGTAGAGCCCATTCCTTTGTGTGCATGTGCAGGTCTAAAGAACTGGATGGATGGTACAGCACGTTAACAGTGGTCACGGGGTGGTATTACGGGTCATTTACATTTTCTTTTTTTACTTTGTTTTAAAATATAATTTATTGCCAAGTTGGTTTCCACACAACACCCAATGCTTATCCCAACCAGTGCCCTCCCCCATGCCCATCTCCCACTCTTTTTTTTACTTTTTTAAAGTAAATAATCTACAAGGGGAACAACAAAACCCTTAAGTTTCTTTTTTTTTATATTTTTTTTAACGTTTTATTTATTTTTGAGACAGAGCATGAACGGGGGAGGGGCAGAGAGAGAGGGAGACACAGAATCGGAAGCAGGCTCCAGGCTCTGAGCCATCGGCCCAGAGCCCGACGCGGGGCTCGAACTCACGGACCGCGAGATCGTGACCTGAGCTGAAGTCGGACGCTTAACCAACTGAGCCACCCAGGCGCCCCGAAACCCTTAAGTTTCTTAATAGTTCCTGTCGTAGGTTCGATTTCCCTTCTTCCCAGCGTCATTTCCAATTACACCCTGTGCTCTCATCTCTTTTTCAGGCATTTTACAACTCCATTTCTTCATTTAGGAGGTCTTTATCTCTTGTCTGTCACCCAAACTAGTCCTTCCCCTCAGAACTGAAAGGTGTCTGGGCTCAAACGTGACCTCCTCTATGAAACCTTCCATGATTCCATCTCCCCACCCCCACCCCCGGGAGGTTCCCAGGCTGAGGAAGTCACAACACACACGAGTCAAAACGCGCCCGGAAGGTTGGCCGTTTGTCCTGTTCACCAAGTTATCCTCAGTGGCTACAGCCGGGCCTGGCATGGGGCTGGTACTTAATAAAGACAGTTCAATAAATAAATGACCATGGGCAAGGCTCTTAGCCTCGAGCTGTGAATTATCTTTCTGGGATTCGGAGATGTTAGCTCGCAGGGCAGCTGTGACGCTTGAAAATTTTTCATTTCCACTAGAAACAGCTATGCGAATAAGAGCAACCACTTGAAGCGGGTAGATTTTGGATACCAGCAAGTGCTCTCCACACGTCTGATCCTTAAAGCAACCTTATTAGTTCACGGTCTTTTCCTTACAGATGAGAAATCCCAGGCTCACAGAGATTAACTTGCCGGAAGCCACAAAGCTGGCAGGACTGGGACCAAGACTCGAAGCCAGATCGCACTACATAAAGCACGGGTCTCATTCGCCGGGCCAACCACGCGAAGATTCGCAGTGCACTGTACTTTCTACCTACGTGGTAGACACTCGCCTGACCTCCTCAGTGCCTCCACTTCACTGTCAACTCCTCGTGGGTGGAGCGTTTTGCACGTCGTGGCCTCGTCTCTACCACAC